AAAAAAAAAAAACTCAAGATGGATAAAAGGCTTGAATGCAAGACCTGAAATCATAAAATATGTAGAAGAAAACATATAGAAGGTAGAGCACTCCGTGATGTAAACTTAAGAAACATCTTTGAGGACTCATCATCAGAAGAAGGAAAACAAAGGAGAATACAAACTGCTGTGACTATTATTTCCTTTGCTGTACAGAAGCAAGAGACAGCAACCTAAATGAAGAGACACCATACTGAATGGGAGAAATACTTGCACACCATACACTTGACAAAGTAATGATATCAAAGGTCTACAAGAATTTAAACACATGAACAAAACAAAGCAAACAATTCAATGAAAAAACGGCAGAAGAACTGAAAAGACACTTCTCCAAAGAAGAAATGCAAATGGCCAACAGACAGCTGAAAAACCGTTCAACATCACCTACTATCAGGGGTATGAACACCAAAAACACAATGAGATACCACTTCACAGCTATGAGAATGGCACATATGAAAAAAGAAAAACAAACAACAAATGTTGGTGAGGATGTGGTGAAAAGGGGACCCTCTTACACTGCTGGTGGGAATGCAAACTGGTTGAGCTACTATGGAAAACTGATCTACCATATGATCCAGCAATTCCACTCCTAGGAATATACTCAAAGGACACAAAAACACTAGTTCAAAAGGACACCTGTACCCCCATGTTTATTGCAGTACTATTTAAAAAGCCACAATATGGAAACACACTAAATATTTCAAAATAGATGAATGGGTTAAGAAGATGCGGGTATACAGAGCAAAATACTGTCAGCAGGTCCAGAAAGATAAACTCCTGCCACCTGTGCAACATGGAGAGAGCTGCTAAAAGAAGTCAGAAGGGAAGGGAAGTACCCCATGGTTTCACTTACATGCAGAATATAGAGAAGCCAAGGAAAGGGGCTGGAGAAAGATAAACCTTCTGAGTTTCCCACAGAGCTGAGGCATACAGCTCTGTGAGCAGAGGGGTCAAGGAGAGGAGGGAAGAGCATTGTGGAGCTGGCTCACAGGTGCTATGGTGTGGGAGAAATATGAGGACTACCCCTGAGGAGAGAAATCAAACACTGTTCCAGAATTAATAACAATGTAAGAAAGTAAATTAATTAAGAAAAGTGTGAATCAGAGGAGGTGGATGCAGGTGCTCCTGTCTGTCCACACAAAGAAGCACTGGTCTCGCTCCCTCCTCGGAGATTCAATTCTTCAGAACGACTGATTGGAGGGCACAAAGCATAGCTGGGGGTTCCCAGAAAGCTGGTGGGAGAATGAGCAGAGGCTGAAGAATCTTCCTGATAATCAAATACTCTACAAAATAACTACAGGTATTAATATTTGGGGATCCCAGAGAAACAACACAGCATAAATCCAGTTACCCACAGTGAAGCTCACCAATTCCCCAACTCTGCACACACCCAGAGCCTCTGATTGGCTTTCAATGTCTCATTCTTGAACAGACTGCCCCTGGTGAGCAGACACTTGAGGTAAAGTTCCAACATGGAGTAAGAGACCAGAATAAACAAGAAAAAGGGAAGTCAGAAGAGATAAAGGCAGCTGAAGAAAACTTAAAACCGATTCCCTTAGAGCAGTAAGAGGTAAATACTATATTCATGAAAGAAAGGCCCAAAAGTTATTTTTTTAAAAAGGAACACCTTTTAAAAAACTCCTTTTTAAAAAGGGAGTAATCAAAATATAAATGAAATAGAAGTTAGAAATTAAGTCAAGCCAATTGCCCATAAAATAGGATTATAAAGACAAAAGATGTAAAGTAGGGAAGAAAATAATCAGGTCCAATTAATGGTGTATTTTGAAAGAAAAAAAATTGAAGGGGAAAAACTACAAAATAAATATTAAAACAAACAAAAACCCCAAACTGAAGGCTAGGATTTGAAGGCACCATCAGAGCATTACATAACAGCAGGGATGAAGAAAAGCCCTGAAGGAGCAAAAGTGGGTGCGGCAGACTCAGGCACATGACCCGGCCTGCGGGAGCAGGACATCTGACACATGGGGGAGGCTGTTGTGCTGGGCCGTGTCTAAGCAGGACTCCAGAGCCAGAGGGCGCACACTGCTCTTCTCAGACTGGGAGGTGAGAAAAGTGAATTCTGTCACGGCAAGAGCTGGGCTTAGAAAAAACAGAGTGTACAAAGAACAACACAGTGACTCCTGCTGACAAACTGAATAAAACTAGAGTCATTTGAGGAAAGGTAATTCGTGCCCTTGAAAACAGCGGTGTGGTCCGGACACATTCTGAAGCAACACTCCTGCCCAGGCCCTAGGACACAGAGCCACGTGCACCCATGTGTGCTGTACCCTCAAGGATTTAAACCTACTGAAAAGCCAATAAAAGAAAGCAGATTTGTCTTCTGGAAAAGAAAAAAAGAAGGGTCCCTACGAAGGTACATGAACCCCAGTGCTCTCCTACTTCTCATCTACAAGATGGAGTTGGGGACAGAGAGCGATGTTTTTCATGTTCAGGAGGGAAAATTATTTCCTGTCTAGAATTCTATACCCAATTAATGCACATATAAAGCTGAACACAGTAATTTCAGATGGTTACCTACTATATGTCTTTTCTTGGAAAGTTATTAGAGTATGAACGCCAAGATAAAGGAATATGTCAAGAAGGTCAATGTGGGTGATGGGGGCCAGCACAGGAATCCCCAGGGCAAGCTGGTGTGGTCGCCTGAAGAGCAACCAGGCCTGACCAGAACAGGCCTACAGAAAGCTGGAACTGTGACCTATCACCTTTACCTTTGACCCTGTGGAAAATGATTTTTTTTAAAAAATATTTATTTATTTGTGTATACAGAACTGGGGCACAGGCCAGAGGCTCAGGGGCGGCGAGAGGCTTCACCAGAGACAGAGTGGGGAGCAGAACAGGCAGATCGACGAAGTACACTGCTGAGGGGAGCAGCGGGCGGGTCAGGAGAGGTCTGCCTCGCCATGTGGTCACCTATGGGGCAGGCGGGAATTGAACTCATGCGGAAGCGGCTTTAGATTCTCAGTGCTGTGCTTTAATCTGCTGCGCCACCAGGGAGGGCCAGAAAATGATTTTTTTTTAATTATTTATTCATACAGAACTGGGGTACAGGCCAGAGATGCGGAGGGCGAGAGGATTCACCAGGGACAGAGTGGGGAGCAGAACAGGCAGATCTACGAAGTACGCTGCTGAGGGGAGCAGCGGGCGGGTCAGGAGAGGTCTGCCGCGCCATGTGGATATCCTCTGGGGCAGACGGGGATTGAACTCATGTGGAAGTGGCTTAAGCTTCTTAGTGCAGTGCTTTAACCCCCTGCGCCACCAGGGAGGGCCCCAGAAAATGATTTTTAAGAGCAATGATACAATTCTGTAAATCTGAGGAGAACTAAGTGGGTAGTGAGTGGGAAGCACACTAAACTAATGAAAAAACCAATTTTTAACTACGGGGCAGAAAAGCTGTGTAAGAAAGGAGACATAATTATGGGATACTACTTGGCTCAGCAGTAAATATTTAATAACATGAACACTGAAAGCTGAGCTAGCAAAAAAAACAAAAACAAAAACGGGATACTGTTACAGAGACATCCCTGTGTAAGGGGATGTACATGGCTCTGCCCCACTTAATGGTGGCTGAAGCTCTATGGCATGAAGGCGGGGCTCAGATAGAAGAGAGAGCGCTCGTTCCTGCAGCCCAATTGGCACCTGGGTACTCTGGGAAGGAAATACATGGAAAAGAGATGGGGGGGTGGGGTGGAATTGTCAGCTGTTCTCTTGTACTTTGATTTTTGCTCCCTTTGTCTCAAACTTGTCTGGTCTCTTTTTCCCCCTTCCTGGGGGGTTCCCTGCAAGAAGGTCACTTACACTTATGGCAAGCTTTTGGGCATCAGGTGCCCTCTTGGGGCAACCCTATTTGGGTTTTAATTAGTGTTTTAATTAGAATAGCCTTCCTTTCTTTTTTCTCTATGCACACAGTTCTATTAAAGATCTCTCATATTGAGAGTCTCTGTGTGCATGAACAGCCAGACACTTTAGAGGGTGCAAATCTGGGGGTCCCTGGGTGCCCCTCAGTCACACACTAACAATGTAATGTTACTGGAAGAATGAAAAAGTGTGAGTACACAGGTTAGATCCTCATCTGCTATCTTTCATTAGTGCCAAGATACATTCTACCATCACAGTTTCTCATCTTTGAAACACAGGTTTAACTTATAATTAAATGACTTCCTACTGTTATAATTGCCAGAACTGTTACTCTCAGTGATATGTAGGATGATACAAAAAACCTTTTTTTTCTCATAGTTGATGACAAAGATTCAATGAAATACAAGTGAGATCTAAAATTGATAAACCATGGTTATTGGGAGTTGAAGGTGATATTTTAACTCTTGCAGATTATTTGAATTTTTAAACTTGTGTTTTATTTAACTTCAGTAAAAATAAACATTCATGTTTTAAAAGGTAAAGAAATTAAGGTGACAGATCAGAAGCAAAGATCATATTACTTCACAGACTTACAGAAGGAGGCTTATCCACAACAATTCCTGCAAGCAACTGAGATTGTGGTCCTGCTGTTTTCAAATCATATCGGTTTTGTTCTCGAATCTGAATTGAAAAACAGTAACAACACATTCTTACATGTTCTTTGGGGCAATATGTCGATGTCCTGTCCTTTTTCTCTTTCTGAAGCTTAGCACTGTTTGACCACGCAGAGTTAAGTGCCTCTGCAGTTCCCACAACCACAGAGCCCTCTTTTTCCATTCTGACAACATCTTAATCTCTTCCACTCTTCTTGACATGCGATTTCCTCGTCCTAAAGTGTTGGAGCACTACTTTTTCCACTAACACAAGGGCTCTTAAAGGCGGAGACATGTTTACTACTTCCTCTGTAGCCTACTCGCCTGCGACTAGTACAGAACTGGAGTCGTTTCGTGCTAAAAGTATATTGAATTCAACTTCCAAGCTTTCTATAGACAGAGCCTTAACTATAACAAGGAGTGATTTAAACAGAACAGCACAAACGTGTCTCCCCTCACCATGGAAGATCACATCTTACCTTATTTCTCTTTTCTAATACCTCATTTGGGTTTGTGTTCAAGGGAACAAATTGATTTGGATCTTCAATTTTGATAGGTGTCCCACTACTAACTTTAGAGGAGTCCTCTGCTTTCATCCACTAAAGAATAAAAAAATTTCTAGAGTGAAATATGTGTTAAGAAATATATGTTTTCAGTAACTGTTCACTCAAGGAGGGGTAAGTTAGGATGTTCTAGAGAATTTCACCAACTGTAATTAGTGGTCAGTCAGTATACATCTCATATAAATTAGAAGAAAGGCTCACAATCAGCATCACTTAAAAGTAAGGCTGGTACTGTCCATATGAGTACTTAATTATACCACTAATTAAATGTTCTCCTCTTGGTATCTCTAAATAGGGAGCTGGGAATGAGGCACATGGAGGTTAATCTCACATGAACTCACATTCAGAGTTGTCTACTGAATTAAGGGTCGATGATGGCCAAGACATCACCAAAAGTTGACTCAAAGATTTAGCTTCTCTTAAGATTTAGCTCCTAGACTTTATCTTTGGTGGATAGAAAAGGCCAAGCCCCATGACCAGCATTTTATAAAGGGAACATTCTGGTGATCATCTACAGTATGATAAAAGCACATAGATGGAAGAGTCTTCTCATTTACCCTGCATTACAACCTTTAAAGAAGGCCAACAGTCACCAAAATTCCTCATATTTTTGAACTAAAACTTTCAATTCATGAAAAACTAGGCAAAATATTTAGTAAAGGCAAACTGAGTGAAACACTGGCATACTGTGATTTTGGTCCTGGGGCTGGTTTCCCCATTCCGAGACTCCTCAGGTACATTTACTTTCATGTAAGTATTTGGGGAGTTCAGCCATCTTGTTTTTTCACGCTGCTGTCTCTGGGCCATGTATTTGAGAGGAGAGAGTGGCACCACATCATCTTCAAAGGAAAAAGCAGTCACGGTTGCTGGGATTTCCACATCACTTTTGTGCCGAGGCTTCTCCCGAATGAGAGGGTGCCTGTAAGCATAGCCTGTTCTATACCCCTAAGGGAGGAAAAAAACACATTTGAAACAATCTGTATCAACACATCATTTATTGTCTAATTTTTTAAGCAAATAATTCAAAATGACTCCTTTGTTGAAAAACAAAGGGAAAAGGTTCCCCTGTCCCTCCAAAAGCTTCATGTAACACTAGAGTTAAAATGAAGCAAATTTCAAGATCTTGTTAAAGCTGACTCCAGCTGCCAATGTGATTTCCACTCATATGACTGTTTCCAACAAAGGTAATTTTAAAATTGCTGACTATAAACACTTCCCTAGCTATCAGCTGGCTTTTCCCTAGCTATGGGCTAGGTTGGCATGCTTGTTTATGTCTTTGCTCCTCAGTCCAAAGGCATCTGCCACCTGACCCTTGTGGAAGAGGGAAAACCTAGATAAGGTGTCATTTGCATGTTTCACTATTTGCTTCTTTCAAATAGGTTAAGATAGATACACTGGAACATCTTCCTAGGGCCTAACTGAGCACCTGGGAGAAGGAACATGTTCCAAACCCAAGGGAAATGGACGCATCTGCCACTGAATCTGAAGATATGACGTCCTAGTTTGTTAAATTTTTCACTTACCAAGTTGTCCAGAGTCCTCATGAGCCCTTCAAACTCAATCTCGCCAACCTTCCATTTGTGATGGGAACCCATATTCACGCCTCCCCCTCCGGATGCTGCGATGGTGTGCGTGTAAGCCTTATACTTCTGAAGATCCAGTATAAGCAGATTGTCTACTCCACCGGCCCCTGCTAATGCCTGCACCTGTAGCCAAGGGCAGAAGACACAGGCACAGAACTGTAAAGGCTATAATGGGCAACTTACATTTCAAAAGGCGCAATTTAAATTCAGCAAGTATCCATAATTAATCAATCATCAGGCTACCAGGAACAAAAGTTTGTGAAATACCTGAAGGTAATGTTTGTCAAAGTACCTGGGAGAGGTAATATCCAGGACTCTCACTCTCCACAAGAGAAAACAGTCATACCTTTGAATGTATTTCAAGAAACTAATGTTTCTTGCCAAATTTTGAGGTTCTTTCCTTGCCATTTTCCCATGACTATGTGGTAAATACTTTTGCTGAAAGTTATAATTTTAAAGGAATATAGGCACTATACTATGAATTTAAGGATATTTAAGTAGAAAATAACTTGCTATGTTAAATTTAATTTGGGCTTTTTAATAGCCTTATTTGAGAAAAGAATGGCCAGGAAAGTAAAAAAAAAAGTTGCTTCTTAGAACAAGTTGAAATTGCTACACTCACCCCCCACACACACCTCTTTTTTTTTTTTAAGATTATCATCAACTACTTAAAGAGAATATGCTTGCTTTACTTGAAAAGAGGAGAAACCCATCTTTGCTCACTGGTGCACTGGTGGATGCCTTTGTTTCTCAAGACACCACAATACCAGAGCATGAAAACAGAGAAATGTGCAATTATACTTCTTTAAAATATAGGATTATGGAAAAATGATGTTTACAAGAGACAGATTTGTGTGAATTTTAATTTTCTTCGTATTTTTAATTCAAGAGTAAACTGAAATCACTAAGCACAACAGACCTTCTTTTATTTAAAAAAAAATATTTTTATCCTATCATCCTTCAGTGTCCTTGTTGCACACTGTATGGTTTCCCCATGAAAATTCCACCACCAATTCACCTGTGCACCATCACCACAGTCCTTTGTGCACTTCCCACTCCTTTCCTGACCCAAAAGACTAAAGCAACAAGCTACCAACCAAATAGTATTTTAGAAATAAGTAAGCACAAAATTCAATTAACCAGGTAAACAACAAAACAAGAAAAAGGGCAGGGTGGGCAGATAATTTTTCCTACCTGAATCTCACAGGCCAGCTGTGCATTAAAAATATAATGAAAAGTCTCCTCAATGGTTTCTCCAAGTGCTACCACACCATGATTTCTGAGTACCAGCACCTGAAACAGAATCCCCAAACTTTAAATAGCTGGCATAGCTCACACTGTTTTCATCAACAGCAAGAGAAACAAAAATAGCTCCTTGGTGAGAAATTCTACTACATACCTTACAACTGGGTCCCAGAACTTTCTGCAGTTGAATTCTCTCTTCCTGTTCATCAAGTAACCCTTGGTAGTCATAATAGGCGACATCTCCCAGGATCAGGGACTCTTGAGAGATTGGAAGGATCCCGCACTTCATGGAAGACACCTGTTTCATTTGGTCCATGCCAAGATAACACACTTAGGTATGAAATATGGTTTCACAGAAACCTGATTCTTAAGTCGGCTCAGGAAGCACCCTAATTCACGTGTTTAACAGGCCAGCTCACTTCCCACTTTAATACTTTGCTTCTTTCAGAAAAGAATGAAGGACTTCTTAAATACTACTTGATTCATGTTATTATCATTGGTATGTATGTAACAAATAGCATGAAAATTCTTTGCACCAAAGAATGACTTGTTGATTAATTTAAAAATTCAAATACTCTCTCTAGCTGTGTCCTAAAATAGTAGCATTTGCTTTCTTAGTATTACTATTTTAAAAATGATATTGAGTGGCTGGAGTTGAAAGAGTGCATCATGTAAGGCATCATGCAAATAACACCTTTCCCTGAGCAAATGCTGGCGTGGCTACGGCTATGACTTACAGCTGCAGTGGCAAGTGTGTGGAGGTGGATCACACACTTCACGTCAGGACGTGTTGAATAGATTGCAGCATGTGGACTGAATCCTGTATGGTCAATTTTCAGATGAGTACTCCCTTGATCAACCACTTCTCCTATTATATTGACCTTCACCTGGAACAAGCAGAAAGACATTTAGTTGGTACCTGTTTATCAACATCTGCTCATGTCCTATATGCTAAACCAAGAGGTGACAAACATTTTACTAAAGACCAGACTGTAAATATTTTAGACTTTGGGCACCTCTGTTGCAACTACTCAATGCTACCACCCACAATACAAAAGTAGCCATTATCAACAGTAGAACAATGGGAGTGGCCTGTTCCCATAAAACTTTATGAAACAGCCTGCAAGTTTATGAAAAACTTACTTAGCAACAAGTAGTTTTGAAAAAGCTGACTGACTTAGTAAGCTCTCCACTCAAGGTCTAGAAGTTTGGCTTTCACTAAACTGCCTTGAACACTTCCAGTTCCTGTTGTAAAGGCGAAAACTGGCTAGTACTATCATGGAAAAACAAAACAACAGAAGTTAGGTCTTAGCTTTACATCAAGTGAACTGTGTCTAATCTCCGTACAAAATATACACAGGCTGTGTGTGTGTGGGGGGGGGGGGGACGGTGTGTTCTAAAATATACTCCAGAGTGTACAAGGTGGGAATCCATTCAGGAATTCTTTCCAAACATGAACGGCTTATAAAACCGTTGATAAAACCAACTCATTTATTATTTTCCATTACCCTGTTTTTCTTGAACCCTAAAGTTTTTCTTTAAAATCAATATAATTTTTCAAACTATTCCCTGTTCACTAACATATTCTTCCAAGTATACCTCCTCTTGTTGTAGCCTGTGCTAAAAGCTAAAACCTGTCAGAAGTATAAGGGAACATAGGAAAAAGTAACATAGGAATGAAAATTATACCAAATTGGAGGCTGTGGCTTCAGAAAAAGATAGGCCTCTAGGAATTATTATAATGTGATCTTGCTCCTTACTTATTCTTACCTGGGAGAAAGAAAGAAACAATAGGGAATTACTATGAGGTGTCCATATTTTGCAGAATATATTTACAACAAATACTGTTAAGAGATGAGGAGTGTGTGGGAAGAAAACAACAAAACAAAAATTATATGTGTGCAACATGAAACTTCCTTGTGAGGTTTTCTCCCCTCAACCCTCAAGTATTTGTTAAAAAATTCTTGCATTAGTTTTTCATTTACTGGACTTACCTAAAATGCTATTATGGAGTTTCTAAAGTCACTCAGGGTCAGCTGAATTAATGAGAAACAATTTTATTTAACAAAAAATAACAAGTATTCTCATTCTGGTTGACAACAAGGAAATTAAAGGGAAAAGGGGAAAAGGAAAGAGAACAGAATCTCTTCCTAGGAAGGAATTAAAGTAAACATGGAGGGGGAACTAAGAACGGAGAGAAGGGAGAGAGGTTGTGTGAGGACTGGGCTGTGCATCTATTCTGTTTCCATCACAGGGTATTTTAAGCCGTTGCTTCCCAACATCCTCTTGTTTCCAAATGTGGCAACATGAAAATAAGATAATGAAAGGGGAAATATATTAAAAAAAATAAAGATCAGGGAGTAAACTCCCATGACCCCTTCTATTTTTTCCTGCACCATATGCTTTTAAATGCCATTGATGCTCATATATAACTAAAATCAAGAGAGAAAATTCTGCCAAAGAGTTTCTTCCTGGATAAAAGGAGCAACAGATAAAGAGCGAAAGTTGGGGTAATGGCTCCCTTAGAGGTAAGATTTAAATCAGGATTAGGTTATGATCCAGCATGCACGGTTCAGGGGTAAGTTGGAAATTGGACTTAAGAGAAGGTGAGAAGAGTAGAGTTGTTTCCTCGTTCGGATTTTATAAAAAGAACTGAAGCCAAAGGACTCACTGAGATGTATGCATTTGCCAGGTGAGCCCATCCAAACAAGTCCACAAGTCTGTACAGGCTGGCGAGTTTACAGCGTGTAAGTTTTTCTCCCTTCACAAAGGTGGACGTGTCTGCCCCCGGAAGGTCATTGATAGGTGTGACCATGCCAAGAGCTGAGAGAGGAAAAGAGAGGTTAAGATCAAGTTAGCCCTCACCTAGTACGAGTTCCCAGACAGCAGCCTTGGTCTGGGAAGGTCCTCGCCTTTTAACTCATGATTTGAGACTTACCAGCCCACACTACGCTTCACTAGCTTATCTTTCTGCAGAAAAGTATGCCGAGAGCACGTGTGTATCAGCACTTTTTGTTTGCTTGGTAAAAGCGGTTCATCTAGTACTTGTTAAAAAGTGACAAAGTTTTTGATCCCATTCCCCACTCCATCCCCACAAAATGTCTCTGGTATATGGCTGTTCATGATTCTTATTATTTTCTCAACTGGTCCATTATACTCCTGCTATGAGCGAAACCATCCGGTATTTTTCTTTTTCTTTCTGGCTTATCTCACTAAGCATGATCTTTTCCAGCTCAAAAACGGGGGTGGGGGGGTGGGGAGGGAAGTGCACAGGACTATGGTGATGGCACACGGGTGACTTGGTGATGGGAAACGAATGGGGATTACAACTGAGGTGGAAAAAAAAAAGTACAAAATGATGTAAAAATAAACTATTATATTATAAAGAAAAAAAAAGTGACATAGTACTGGGGAAATGGTCACAAGACCCCCCAAGGTTGTTATTATACAGAAATCACTGCTAATTTTTTGACGTGACAATCTTGCAGAAAGCTACTTTTCTAGCTTTTAAAAAAGATTTATACACAGAAGAACTTGGGTGTAGGCCAGAGGTGTGGGGGGTGAGAAAACTTACCAGAGACAGAGTGGGGAGCTCAACAGGAGGATCTATTGAAATACACTCCTGAGGGGAGCAGTGGGCCAGACAGGAGAGGTCTGCTGTGCCATATGTGGCTTAGCTCCCTGGTGGGGATTGAATTCAGGCTGCAGTGGTGATAGTGCTGAGATTTAACCTCTATGACATCAGGGAGGCTCCTACTGTTCTAGTATCTCTTGTTGTTTTAATTCAAATAAAAAATATTTCAAAGGGAAAAGAAAGCACTTAAACAAAGGTCTCTTGTCCTCACTAAGTAACAAAAACTATTTTGGTCTCTAATGAGCCAATTGCTAGGAAGTTCAACTTTTACTCAGCCCTCATTTTCTTTGACCTCTTTACAGTGGTATACAGTTTATACCACGTCTTTCCTAGTATTCCTCTTCAGCCTGTGAGATACTATCCTGGATCTCCTGCTCTCTTTTCTTTTTTTCTTTCTTTCAATGTTCCTGCTCCCTTTTCTCCTGCTTCTTTCTCCTTCATCAAGTTCTTTTCCTCTCCTCCTGTATCTTAACATGGCATATTCCTCTCATCACATCTCTTAATGCCATTCCTCTATTTTGAAAGCATTTTAACTCATTCAACTCTTACTTGTAAATCTGCAACAAAGAAGAAGGGAGGGAAGAGAAGGAAAAGAGCAACACAAACTCCCTGACTGATGTGAAGGCTGCAGATGTCCTCTCTCCCAATCTGTGCACCTGCCCTGGTTTTAGAGAGTCCTGCCCAAATCTGGCTCAAAGTACTTCCGTAAAGTACTAGAACTCAACACCTTCTGATTCTTGGAATCGTTAGTGTTCAGTTCACCAAACTGGTGCTCTCATTAAAGAGCTGTTGAATGAGGAAATGTCTGAACCCCTCTACACCATGTTCTAACTATTCCATGCATAAACCCTGGCCTCTTTCCCCATAAAATTTCCTCAGTCCACTCCAGCCAAAAATTAATTTAACTCTGAGTTCATAGCATGATGCCTAATAAAAGGAAATCTTTGATGAACTGGTTTGTAATGTTTTCCTCTATAGTTACATTGCAGTTTTAACCTTTTGTGCACCATGCTATGTCTCTGCAACTAAATATACATGCAGCTAGTCTGCATATACAAGTATACATTGTCTTGTAACTATTTTGTAATCCTCACAAATCCCAGTAAATCTGGTTCTGAAAAAAGGAAGAGATTCTAATACCATTCCCAGTAGTAGACTTAAAGGTTGAGCCTGAACAGAATATACTGTCAGAGACACACAGTGCTCAAAACAGAGATACAATTACAGTTTAACCAATTACAGTTTAACTTTTCCAAACTGACGTACTGAGAGGAGATGAAGCAAAGCCTGAGAAAGAATTGGCCATGATGTAATCTGCAATCTGCTGTAGTGCTAGTAATCCAGTTGGGTTGTGACCTTTCTTCATCTGTTCTTGAATAAGGCATTCCAGGTCTTCCCGAAAGGCCTGTAACACAGAAAAGTCACCACTGAGCACGTACCTCTCACTTGAAGCAGAATGACTTAAACATAACTTGTTTTGATATAATCAATCTTTCCCCCGTCCGCTTTATACCAGCTTTCATCTATATAATTTTCAGCAAATATAAAATACATAATAAAATTGAAATACTAGAAGAAGCAGCAAGAAGCTTGCTTTCCAATGAAGAAAAAATCACTAGGCATTCTTAACCTCAAAGACTTAAAGTGAGATATTACAATATCTACTACAGACATGGGCAGATAAAACAACTCTGTTAATAATATGCAACTTGAACAGCGTAGAGGTTGATTCCTTGCCTACCAGCCTCATTATGAAGGTGAGACCAGAGTCCCTATTTGAATGGGGTACTTTCTGACTACAGTGCAACTCATAGCAAAAGTCTTTCCTAAAACTCAGAAACTCGGGGCTTTCATTTTATGATTTCCAGGGTAATTTCTTAGCTCCATAAACTGAAAGCAAACTGATTAAGAAGCCTTGAGAACTTCTGTGACTCTGTACAAAAGAAAGGATTTTTTGTTTCCAAGTTTGGGTTCTGTGTGTTCTTGTTCTGGAGTTTTGCTGTATTGTATCAGATATAGATACAACTTTGGGGGGGGGGGGCTTTGTGGCAGAAACAGTGTTTTTATATCAAAATTCTGAAAAGTTAGAGAACTCTATTCTAGTCAGCCTTGAGTTGCTAGGATGATGCCTCAGTTGGAAATTCCCAGTTGACATTAGCTGACACAGCTGGCTTTGTCTTTCCAACACCATTTTATTAAATTCATCATTTGTTCCCTTGCTTGTGTCTATTTTCATTCATTTAAAAAATGAAGGTTCTTGCAATATAAATCACCTAAACCTTGTTCCTCTATTTGAGATTGGTTACATATGTGGTAGAATGCCCTGCCAGGCATGCCGTTAAATTCTTTCCCATTTTACCTAAGAGGGAGAAGGCAGGAAATTGCTTTGGAATCACTATTTTTAAGAGGGCTAAGAGGGGTCTTGGAGATTACAGAGGCAATCTCCCCTAAAGGATAAATCTCCTCTGAGTCACTGACAATAGCCTTCCTTGTAGGACTGGGGATGAGATTCCTATTTTGATGTGGCCTTGATTAAAAGATGTTTGAATCACTTAGAGTTGTCCAGAAAGAGACCTTTTTGAAAAAAAAATAATAATGATGATGTACGAGTCAACGGTGGGAAGGGAAAATGTGATTCTGAGACTAGGAGGTGGGAGACTCAATGCTCATGTTGCTTTCAGAACAACAGATGACAGGCATCTGTGCCATGAACTGAAAAAGCTGAGAACTGAGAGCACCATGAGACACCTTAACTAAGTTGAATACATAAGAGGGATTCATCCTCCCTGTACCCTGGCTACCTGTGCAGGATCTGGGTCAACAGTGAACCTGCATCTTATGTTGGTCTGCGCAAAACTCATTTCAACATCACCACCAAGAGGACAGGAAGGTGCATGACACTGGTGCGCTGACCAGGTCTTAGAGTCCTGCAGACTGTCACGAACACAGACACTGCACACGGCTATAGAAGCCTCTGACACTTCTGGGGTGTGTAAGAAACTGAAGTTCTTGGGCTAATTTTGGGAAAGTGTCCATTCCAAGAGAAACTGCTTTAATTTCTGCTTGATCAGAAATGAAAGGTGGATGTTTGAGTAATTAAAAAAATACTAATTATCACCACATTTAGATTCTGGCTTCATGAAGCAGCTTTTGCCAGTTAACCATGGTTTTACTTTAACAAATTTAAGGCTTATTAAATATAAACCATTATCACAATTTAAAAAAATTCTAAACATCTAATTCTACTGACCGCTTCTACTTCATTTAAATATATGATTTAAACCAGAGAATTATCCTGTATCTTCTACAAAGACACATTTATCAGAAAACTCCATTAATACATTTCGAAGACCTTGTGAAGATAAAATCGTTGTAAGCTATATGTAAGATGGATGGATGGCTTCATACAGACGAGTAACATGAGTATTTTACCATGTTTAAGGCTGAAAGGAAAAGAATCTTCCAGATATGCTCATTTATCTTTATATAAACTACAGAAAACTTCTGGACATGTGGCAATGGGCCAGTCTGCTCTTCTGAGGCTTTATCTTCCCTTCAAAACCAAATTCCATTTCAACATTTCTTAGTTAAAGCAGCTATAACCAATAATCTTAGGTGTGCATGACTCATTTATTTTACATTAGAATATCTCTGAGGAGTGGGCATTATTTATTTTGTTGAATATACTATTAATGTTATGCCAGGAAAATTTTAATATAGATCCCATAGATTAAAGTGATCAAAAATAAATATAGGTAAGAAAAATTAAGCTAAAGAGTAAACAAGCATAAGGAGGTGAGAGCCAGGCTAAGAAACGAAGTGCACGATAAAAAACTGCATGTTAGTGATGAGTTAAATTCTGTCTAAATGCTTTAATAGTCAGCATGAATCAAGATAATCTGCTCAGTATGCTGATTTATAATGGTTTTTGGATTACAAACCAAGCAGTTTCTCAAGAGAATCACAAATATTTATGAAATTGATGAGAAATTTCTGTAGGGTGGGATGAGAAAGCTAAATAAAAAAGGTTGAAAAACTTGTTCAAGGTCACACAGCTAGTAAATGTCAGAGGCAAGCACTCAGATTAATGTTTCCTTGTTAGTGGAAATTCTTCTCGCTTCCATGCATTTCCCAACTGGGTGAGTACCATCTTAAAGCTTTGGGATGGTCCCTGTCATAGAGGCATGTATAAATTCTTCTGAAATTAACTGAGGGAAAAATAGGAATTTCCCCTGTTACGGTTAGCACAGCTTCTCTGCAGTATAGGAAAAGAACATTTTTCAAAGTAAATTATATTTTCTTCATCTTTTCATTTCAACAGAGGAGAATTTTTCAGTTGCAAAAATTTAGTGGTTTTGTCAAGAACATTTATTAACTAATTTTTTGATGTTTCAAATATTTTTGAAATATTGTTCAGATAATTACTGAATAAGTCAAGTTACTTATAAAAACTGGACCCAGTGGTTTTAAAATTTATCAATAAATCTGGCCCTCCCTGTTGACACAATGGGTTAGGATGCAGCATTGCAAGCTAGCTACAACCGCTTTAGTGTGAGTTCTATCCCCCAGTCCGGAGGTGACCCACATGACCCAGCAGACCTCTCCTGTCTCGCCTGCTGCTCCTCTCACATTGTACTTCATCAGTCTGCCTGTTCTGCTCCCCACTCTGTTTCTGGTGAATCGTTTCACTGCCCTGCTCCTCTGGCCTGTACCCTGGTTCTATATGCATAAATAAATAAATCTTTAAACAAAATTTATCAATAAATTTATGCGAAAGGAATAAAAATTTTAATTATGTTTATGATAGGTACCTAAATCTCCTTTCTACTAAAATCTTCCACTAGTAAATCAATCCTTTTATTGCTGATGCATCTGAATCTTACAACAAAGTCTTGAGATAGATGATATTTATTCGAAGTTGGCATGTTAATAAGTAAACATAATAAAGATTCAAATCTGTAACTTTTAGTTGGCATAGAATCTCTTCCTAATTTTATCAGAGTGTGGTTTTTCACCAAACATGAACACAACTAATAAGGTAGCAGGCGTGTTGTGATCAGGAATACTGAATAAGCCTCTTAGGCTAGATCAGAGCACTAGGTTGTAATGATAGATAAAGAAAAAAAAAAAAAACCCAAAAACCCAACATAGCAGCAGATGAGCCTCAAAGTACTTGTCCTATTACAGCTGGGAATTTTTCCATCAAAGCAGAATGAGAAACTAACTTACAAGCAGGGCAGCAAGGTCACACACTGGGCTTCTGAAGTCAGATTAAGCCAACAGTTCCCTAGAGTCTCTCCTAGAGAAGAGTCAGGTTAGAAGATCAAACACCACATACACAAAACCACAGCACAAATCATGTCGTCTTTCTCAGATACAGAAGAACAGAGAAGAGAGGGCAGTGGGGGTCATTATGCCTTGGGTATGCGAACACATGAAGCTAAATACGCCAGTGTATCAGAGTGAGGTTCTCTAAGATCGGCAAAACCAAAATACAGTCTAAGGAATTATGATTATCATCTTCTGTGTTGCTACAAGGTATAACATGCTTTAAATTAGCAATAGTGTGTGTAACTTCATTTAATCAAGTCCCACAAAAACATGTGCTGCTGGGTGCCAGGCACAGCACTTCATGCTTTTCTGCTATAGCATTTGATTGCCACAGCAACTGCACACACTCCATTTTACCATAAAGGAAACTGAAGCTCACACTGAGTTTCCTAATGTCACACAGCTAATAAGTGGTGAGTAAAATGAAGATGTAAGCCTAGATCAGAAAAGGCACCATTTATAAATACCTTAATATACAAATTTATACAAAGAGATCAAAACTGTGAGCGGTGAGAACATGGGCCAACCCCTAATTTAGGACAAAATGGTCCGGTACTTGGGAATTTCCATGTCTAGAAGCTAATCATTTGCTGTATCCATCATTACTGCCTCATGCTCTAAGTTAGTCCATAAGGTTCATCCAGCATTCACCAGTCACAGTTTACACCTTGCTATCCTTGCTCACTGTATTTCACCTAGGGGAAATGCTGGTTTGCACTGTTCTGTTCCTAGTGAATTCTTAACCTTTATTCAACACTTGTCAATGACATCTTCTTGGAGAAGATCTCTAGTTAGAAGATCTCCATATTCTTCTATTCCTATCCTATTTCATTTAACTTTTGCTTTTACTACGCGAAGCATACTCATTATATGATTATTGATTATTTTTCCTTCTCTACTATAACATAATATCTGATGGCTGGGATGTCATCTTTCACATTTCTAGAAATCTTCCTGAGTCTCTAGTTCAGTGCCCAATTAATACAACAACAGATTTTCTTTTTACTTTCTTAGATACAAGGAAATAATCTGTTTTCAAATTTGGGCTAACAATAGCAAAGATTTCATTCACCGATTATTAGCACTGAAATCCAAAGCCTTAGAAAAGAGTCTTCACGGACTGTCATTTGTGTAAGAAATCCTTCCTGTATAATTAGGGCTGTCTTTCAAATATTGGGATAAATTCATTTTTTTTTAAAGAAATGATTCTTCACAGAATCTTATACATATTAAAAAAAAGTTAATTCTTTAATGCAAAATCCTATTGAAAATCTAGCTTCCCTGTAGATAACTATAGCTTGAGCAGTTCTCTCATCAAACACATATCCAAAGAAGGATGGTTAAAAAGAATCACTAGGTGAGAAACAGAGTGCTTAAATTAGAGAGAGGGTGCCTTAAAAGCCTTATCTAAATCTCACATCCTGGTATCCATTTCCTGTCAATGTTTAGGGTGGAATCCTATAAACTTTGAATTCATAATGGAATCATAAAATATAAAAACATGAAAAAATGAGAAATTTGAGATACATACAGAGTAAGAGTACATTATATATAAATACATTTTCAAGTATATCATAAATAAAAGTAGAATTAACTTGAAATGTCAGCTCTTACTGCTTCTGCATTTTAGATTAGAACTTTCAGGAGAAAGTAGCAATAGATAAGAGTTTTAAATCACAGTGGATCAATTTGCTAAGAGAAACTGACCTAAAGTACTATTTCAGTTAATAATAAGAAAAAAAGCAGAAAGTCTTTTTTATAAGTAATGTCTAGCTTGTAAAAATCAGGTAATGGAATACTAATACTGACACATCAGAGATGAATTTTCTACACATCTAGATGTTCTACCTCATAACAATTACTAGACAGAAAAATCAGAGTAAAAAGAAACAAGATTACAGACTTGCTGCTCCCAACACACCCTGCAGTTATGATATTAGACCTCTCCTAAAGCGGGATTAGGAGCAGAACAAACTTACTTAGAATTTCTCCATTAAGAAATGAATTCATTTTGGAAATAGATTACCACTGGCCCTGTTGAAAGGAAAAAACAAATAAACCAAATTTTCTTCTGGATGGTCTTTCTTTTTTATCTCAGTCTTAACTAATAGGAAGCGAAAGATTAAGTCATGGTATTTTGTATCATCTATTCTAATTATGAGACCTTGTAACATTTAGGTTTTAATTGCACTGATACCCTGAAATGCAAGGTACACTGATGTTTCTCTCATCTTCACATACTTACAGCTTTACACTTAGTAACCCCGTTACTAAGAACCATTAGTATCATCTTGTGCCCAAGTTCTCACCACCTACACTCCTGTTATCTACTGTCAACCAATCTAATTCACTACTTGTAGTGTTAATATTTAAGAATGTAATTCTTCTGAAATTCAACTGCTTCTTATACTAAGCAGTTAAGCTCAGCAAAACCTTGCTGGACAACATTCAGGGGTTTGTTTAATGACTCAAAGCCCACCCAGCTATTCATATGTTCATCTGTCATGTAGTCAGAATTTAGTATCTATTCTGAACAACATGCTGTTAGTTTTTTTTTTAATCTTATGCTTCTTCACCATTAATGAGGCATTATTTAATTCCAACAGATGGCTCCGGACACTTCATTCTGAGACAAAGGTGTAAAATAATCTGAGGCGTTTAGAGAAAGAAAGACCTATCTATTTTTTCTACTGCATTAACAAAATCTCTAGTTAGGATAGCTTACCCATGGGCACTACATTTCTAAGAAATACATTCTTAAATTAAAAAAAAATTATAAAAGGGAGTGTAATTCCTAGAATGAAGTTAGTTGGAATCAAAGAGACAAATTTCTTGATTTTTCTCAGCTCAAGGCAATAAGGTTCTCTATCCTTCAAATTTACAGACATCGAGGTGTCTTTCGATTATAAATTTCTTGATTGAATAAATCTGAAGATGAATAAAATGATAAGAAACATGGGCAGAATTTTTTCATTGTTATTAAATGCTCTCAGCAGTCTAGAGCCCAGTAGTTAAAGATGTGAGTTTTAAGTTTAAATTCTGACCCCCATTATTTAACTAAGCTATAAAAACTTCAGTAAGTTATATAATGCCTCCAAATTTTAGTTTATTGATCGTAAGCCAAGGATTATTCACACTTCTTTGACTGACTTGTTTGAGGATTAAATAGCATTAAGCACATATGACAAGGGTCTGGCACAATGTAAGTGCTCAATAAAAAAGTATTGCACTTTGTTTATATTAGCCTCTCTCCTGAATGCTTTTTTTCCTAAATGAACTGAGAATTTTAAATAAAAGGCTTACAAACATGAGATAGTAATACCTTTGATTCTGATCTTTATTGGTTATGGGATTTGTATAACAAGTGAAACCCCAAATTCACAGGAGACCATAAAATTTTTAAGTAATTATATTGGCAGAACACTGCAAATTTTGGCTAAAGGAACAAAGACAGATAAAAAGAAAAGAGAGCTCTGAACCCCTGAACCTCTAGAATGATTCAGAAGATGGAACTAAAAATCAGGAGGCAAAACCAACCGCTAGGGAGAGTCCCCACAGCGCACGGGGGGCCTGAGTCCAAACGTTAAGGAAATTGCCAAACACGTGCCCAGGTGGATTTCAGAACTGCCATGAACCAGTGACTCCTTTGTACCCTTAACTTTCCCCATTTTGTACACTGTATATAGGAGTTTTCTTTGGCAACTGACTATGTGTTTGTGTGCATGCACGTTTGTGTACAGATAACCTGTCTCTTTTGTCCACCAGCCTACAGACTGAGCAAAATTATACTTGAGGGGTTGTTCTGAGGAATTACACTCAGGAGCATCATCTGTACCTGAACAAGGCTGAGATGATGAAATTCTGAACTCAGGCTAATGTGTGATGGGATGAGTTTTGAAAGGCTGTTAAAGAGTGAATGTATTTTGCACATAGAGGAAGGTAAATAAATTGTGACTAAAGGGCAGACTGCGGTACTTCTAAAATAAACTGTGATCAGAGTGCACAATCTTCCCTTTGAAAGGTGGAGCTCATTTTCTTTTTTTTGACTATGGATAGAAGTTAGTGACTCACTTCTAGTGATGGTGTGTATGTTTGAGATTGGGTCATATAAGCCACCGTAGGCAACTCTCTTTGATCTTAGATATTTACTCTAGGAGTAAATATCCTAGATAAATATCCATGTGGCATGGAAACTGGCCTTTAGCCACAGACATGTGAGTTACCCATTTTAAGAGAAGATTCTCTAGCTCCAGTCAAGTTGTCAAATGACAGCATCCCTGTCTGATGTTCTGACATATCCTGAGAGACCCTGAGCCAGAACCACTCAGCTAAAGTGTTCTGGAATTCCTGACCTACAGAGATTATGGATAATAGGAGTTTTCTGTCATTTCTAAGCTGCCAAGTTTGGGGTTGACATGGAAATGATAATCTATGTCTGCCCTTTCCCATTATTTCATCAAGTCTCACAAAGTATTGATAAACACATTTTAAAGTCAATTTATAAGGGCAAATACACAAGCCAAAAAAAAAAAATTACAAAACCTACTCAAAATCATGCTGTCTTTAATGCGAAAATTATATAATAAAAACCCTTGCATATATCTTTCTCATTTAAACTTTACAGTTAGAATTAAAAGGTCTCTTTCAGAGCACTTCTCAAAGAAATCTCACTATTCAACAACTTTTAACAAAATCTAAACATCTTCCCATTCTTTAATTACTTTATACTATTGGCTACTTTGATCATTTGGCTATGAAGTTTTTAAAAGTGGGGCTTCTTCAGGAGGGTATACACCTATTTTGATCAAAATAATGACAATATTCTCTTAGTATTTATAAACAGGAACTCCAGAATGCATAAAGGCAGGCAGTGAACATTTATTCCTTCAGGATAACTTCTATAGTTAATCTCCTTTCCACTGGGAAAGGATTTATTTAAGGGTTTACTTAGACTCTAGTTTTAAATTTAAACTATGCTGAAATCCTCAAAGTTTGCAGGGATTTTATTACTAGTCATTATTTTTACATAAGCCACTGGACTGGTACATGGGCATTATTCAGAGTAGAAGTATCCTTCAACTTGGACTCAACCTCCACGATTAAATTAACAATGGCACAACAAAAAATTACTAACCAGGGCTATCTTAGGCAGTTTTATGCCTTGGTGGTTATTTTAGAACCTATGTTTGAAACCTTAGCATAACCCTCCAGAACCTTGGTTTTGTGTGTCTTTTGTGCTAAATTTGTATTTCAGGGGTCTATATGGTCTTTAGTCTGCACGTAGTTATGATGCATTTTGCACATTAAATCAAAATTTTTGCATTTTCCTTCATTTATATGTGACTTTAAAATTCTACTCTGGGTTTGTAAGAAAACTAACAAATCCCTTAGATATGATTTACATAGTTTAGCTATCAATATGCACACAGAATTTTCACCTGAGCTCAAGTTATAATCTAGTCTGATGTTAATGCATGTATGTGTACTTGCATTAGGCTAATGTAACATCAGCCTTATGTAACAGACCTCTAAAGAAAACCTTACATATTCATATGCTGCTGAGTACCAAAACAAAGAAGAAAAATGGGTGCATGGCATAACTTTCATGTATTTCTTGGTTCCAATATTTCAGTCACACCTCTGTTTTCTTCACACATATTTAGTCTGAACTGGGTGTCCTTGAGTTTAGAGCCTCCTTTATCTTCCTTCAATGAAGCAGCATACCCAGAAATCACACAAAAAATTTATACTACCAAAGATGATACTAATTTGTTATTAAAACTTTCCAAGTCAAATATACAAATCAGGTGTTCATTTTGCCTTTAGAAGATTGGAGTGAAGTTCATTCTTTCTCTACCAGTCTTGTGTCCTATGTACATTTTAAGACACATCCTACTTATCATATAAAAGTTTCCAAAGAAAAAGAAGAATTAGAAACTAGAAAATATTTCAACTCACAGGACTTTGTAAGATCTGTGTGACTCGTTTCCTCTGCTCCATCATATTGAAGTCTTGTCGCAGATCAGGAGACATGTTCCTCTCCCTTATGTATTCTGGGTCATTTTCATTTATGCGGTCAAAATACCTCTCTTTGTGAGGCATGCTGGGGGGAGGGCTGGTGATCACGCCTTGGCTGGCATCTGAACTCATGCTTCAAGTCTGCTGATGCCTCTTGTTATCTGCATTAATAGACACAAAGGAGAACATTCATGATAAATTCATCTTTATTAAATTCCATTTTACATGGATAAATTAGTAGAACTTTTTATTGGCTCCAGTAACAGTCGCAACTTTCTGTAGAAAGTAGTTTCTCAGAAAATGTCAGGGTAATTTTTTATTAAGGTAAGAATATACTGTAATGTTGAAATGGAAAGTTATATTTTCAGAGCTAATGAAAACTTGCAGTTCAGTATAACAATTCCATCAGTTACCAATGGAATTTTTACAGGAAGCAACAATCAAATATCTGAAAGTAAAATGTCATATCTAAGATGGCAAATGTTCACCTTTACTGAGCATTATCTCTAGAGTTTCTCTTGCCTTTCTTTCTTACTCATGGTTTTGTCTCAGACCACATTAATGACCACTACATTTTACAGTAAATATAGTTTACTATTAGTAGAGGAAAAACAGCTTAAAGTTTTCCAAATGACTCAATGACCAGTGAAGGTGTGATTATTGTGAGGTTGTCAGGCTATATAACTTCAGTAGGTAGTGTTTCAAATCTAAGTAAGAAACCATGAAGTCACATGAAAGGCTGATTCACTTAATTAGCATGATTTATACTAATACGTAGGATAATACTTGGTTTGATTCCAGGGGAACATATTCATTTGGGCTTTGCTGCGGCTGAGCATCTCACTAACTAAAGCTAGATCAAGAGCACAGTTATTTAGAAATCTCCTGTCTCCTAACTGTGTATGCTTTATTAAGTCACCTTACTCAGTATGTCTCAAACTATGATGAAGAACTTTCTCCAATATGTTGTGAGCCAATGTTTTCTTAAAATATGAAATAGTGCACGTAGACACTATATTCTACATCATATTCTTACTATCGTATCCTCCACTTACAACAGACAGGTAACAGTTTACTGATCGTCACTGAGGCCTAGAACACACAAGTGTAGCACTAACCTAGCAACATTAAGTTGTGGCCAATTAAAGGAATGATTCTTTTCCAACTTCTAGAAAAAGTGACATGATATAAATCTAAGTGAGGAGAAAGGGACACTGATCAGTGTATCCCTGTTCTTGGCTTTTCCATTTAATTGGATATTTAGCAAGGGAAAATGTGCTACAAGAAAGAGAAACACATAAAGAAACCATAAAGATGGTTTTGTTTAACCAAATTTTCTCTATAGGTAGTGACATCCATTCAAATGAAACATGTTCAATGTAAATGACTGAGCAACAGAAAAACCATTCTAACTACGAAATGGTATTTATTCAAATGACTATTTGCCAGGTGGGAAGAAATATTTCATAATAAAGGGAATGAAATGTAAAATATCCAAGTATTCTTTTTCCATTTATGTAGAAAACTAAGGGAGAGAAATTTCTGTGGACCTGCAACTCTGCACATTCTTTAAAGCCTCTGAGTCCCAGCAGAACACTTTTCTAGCTAGAACCAGAACACTTTTCTAGCTAGAACCAGAAGGGGAAAAAAGACAAGAATTACCTGAAAAGATCACTACAAAAGTGTAGTGTATAGAGCACTGTCAGAAACTTCTCAAATCCAGCTGGATTATGAGTCGTTTAGAGGTGCAGCTGATCTTTGAAAACTAGTTTTTTTTTTTTTGGAAGCTCTTTATAATAGGTTCATTTGAACTCCTTAGATCAGTTTACTGCTGTCAGTGAGGAATTTCACGGAGAATTAAAGTTTAAAAAATTAAACAAACAAGCATACATATCAGTAAATGTCATGCTGCTTTTTTTTTTTTTTAAGATTTATTTATACATACAGAACTGGGGTACAGGCCAGAGGTGCAGGAGCAGTGAGAGGACTCACCAGAGGCAGAGTGGGGAGCAGAAGAGGTCAACTGACAAGTACACTGCTGAGGGAAACAGCAGGCAGGTCAGGAGAGGTCTGCCGCCCCATGTGGTCACCTCTGGGGAGGGGATCAAACTCATGCTGAAGTGCTTTAGTTTTTTAGTGCTGTGCTTTAACCTGCTGCGACACCAGGGAGGGCCCACATTTCATGCTGTCCTTTAATGGTCAAATACAGGCTAAGTTGATGTTCAATAACGGAAAGTGACTTAGCAAGGAAATGAATTTTGTTTTAATTCATAACAACAAGCCACTGGCTTCTTAAATTATTAATAAAAAGGTCCACAAATGTTGCCCTTAATTAGATTTTACATATTTCTCAGTCCTAGTAGTACTCTTTAGCCTTCTGGAGAATACAGGAGACAATACGCTTGTGTCTAAATGCATTTGCTGATGCTTTTAAGATAATTTTGTTAAAACACAGTAAAAAGTAAAAACTGTGTAGGTAGATTCATTTCACCGTCCTAGCATTGGCTTAAGAAACTGATAAGTGAAACGTTGAGAAGTAAATGCTTACCTTCTGAAAAACTCTTGATGATAAAAAGCATTTTAAAATGAGTAAAGAGAAAGATATTTAACCATCTATTTAATTAAGAACAAATCACATACTCTTATACTTTTCCATCTTATTTTATCTTTGTGACTACACAATGAAGGAAAAGTTGATTACCTATAGGTTCAGTGAATCCTGAATCTGCCAAAAACACTGCTTATGTCTGAGGCAACATTCAAATTAGAGCCACAATTTCTGCATCCTATGCCACTTTATGATGACACATATTTCACATACCTTGAAACATACAAGAGGTACAAAAATTTGAGACTTTCAGTCTACACTCTGTCCTGAATGCCAAACAACTAAAGCTCTCAAAGATGAAGAACTGATATTGAAGAAGGGAAGTAAAGATCTTTGTAAAAATTCAAAAGTTCATTATCTTGACTTGTAACACAGGTGATTTCAAATTAAGTTTGAAAGGAGAATTGGGAATTTCTATCAAGGACCCAGAAGTTAAGACTAGCAGCTGGTCATTTACTCCTATCTACCCAGATGCTGAACAGGAAGATTTTACATACATTTTCAAGAAGCATATACAAAATAGTTCTAGTTTTATAGTCTGAAGTTGAATTTTTTCAAGCTGTTTTAGTTCATTTAGAACAGTTATGAAAACCTTTCCACCCTTTTGTATCTAGGCTTTCCTGACAAGAGCCCATATTCTATCCTATGAAGAGTTAGTATTTTTAATTCTATATTATGAAGTTTGATCTGATCATATCTTTTCCTTTCTTAGATTCTAAAATGGTTCTCTTTCATCATGGGATAAAATTCTTCACTGTCCATAGTTTGTTGTTCCATCATTACTTCTTCCACAGAGAGTGCTTTATTTCTTATAGGAACCACCCAGCCTAAACTTAAAAAAACAAACAAACAAACAAAAAAAAAAACCCACCACAATATAAAGGAAATCCCAGTAAAGCCCATCAAACTCTCTGTACAATGCTCTATTACAAATTCTTTCACTTTTTCCAAAACCACTATATATAAACAAAAATTCTAGTGATTTTCAAAAGCTTAGAAATATCCTTTCATATGGCTCTCTCAGAATAGCCTTTTCAAAAAACTGATGAAAAATTATACATCCACAAGCAAAGGAAAAGAGAAACTTGTCCTAAATCTCACATCTTCATAAAAAAAAATTAAATCACTTCTAGGCATACTCTGCCACCGACCCCACTAACAACATGTATACAATTAACAACTTGTACATGGTGGCCAGGGATACAAATCTAGTCAATCTTTAAAACCCATGATCTTAATCACAATCCAGACTGAGTGGCAGCTAATAGTTTTGTTCAAGTGCTAATCCCAGTGGTTCAGTAACAATGATAGACTGGAAAAGTTTTACCCAGGCCCCAAAATAAGAAATACCAAAACTGCTATGGCATGTAGAGGAGTCCTGTGCCTTCATTGTATTACACCCCTTACGTGGCAAATTCTAGTTCCACTTAACCCTGAATGATTCCTAAGCAGACTAGTTCTGGTACTAGATGATATCTGAACAGCTCGGTTTCAGGACACGTTCTTTTTAAAATTGCCAAACCTATTTTTTTCTTTTCTTTTATATTTTTTAATTTTATTATTATTTTTTTAAACCAATCCTATTTTTAATACCACATCTACACACAGCCAGTGCAAACCAGTTTGAATTCCACCGTGGAAAACAAATGATTCTTTGAACAATGTTCTCTGAATTGAGAATGATTCAGGAAACAGATTTTAAAAAAAGTAATGTTACAAAACTTGTCACACTATGGTTTTTTTTTTTTTTTCAGACCATGCAGAATAGAAACAAGATACCAACTTTAAACAAAATTTTGGTTTTAAAAATCTTATCCAAATATTTATGTAGTGACTATCCAACATGTATGTTTAAAGAACACTGGGCTTAAGACACAAACATAAAACTCTCTAATGTGGTGGCTTTCAAACTTAAAAAAAAAAAAAAGCAATCCATAATAAGTAACTTTCACATATAAGTACACAGATAAATACCAAATCTATGACATGCTTCCCACTACTATGTGGAACTGCCTATATTTTATATTTTAATATATTTCATTCATAAAAATGCTAGTCAGCCTGACATCAACAATGAAGGAAATGAAAGCAAACACAACTGTGGCTCCATCAGACTAAAAAGATTCTGCACAGCAAAGTAAATCATCAATAATGTAAGGAGGCAACCTCCCTAACGGGAGAAAATATTTGCAAATTATAGGGATAAATATCCAAAATACGCCAAAAACTCCTACAACTCAACACTCAAAAAGCAAACAATCTGATTAAACTAGACCTGAACATTTTTTTCAGATGACACAGAGATGATTGACAGTATAAGAAAAGATCATTATTAGGAGCAGCATCATTAATCATCAGGGAAATGCGAAACAAAACCACAACAAGGTATCACTTCATGCATTGTTAGAATGATTACTCCCCCAAAACAAGAAAATAACAAGAATGTGGAAGAAGGGAACTTGTGCACTCTTGGTGGGAATTAGTAGTGCAGCCAATAGACCAGAGCAGCCACTGTGGAAACAGTACTGAGGGTCCTCAAGAAAGCAAAAACAA